CATATAAGGATTTTCCATAATCACTGGAGTGCCACGACCTTCATCGACATTTTTATGTAAGAAATTTTTCATCAAATAAGCGCCAATTTCTTCTAACGACTATGTATTGTAATCACGGCTAGATTACAGAAATAAATGATACAATTTTAGCCAATAAAAAGAAATAGTTGTATTTTATAACAAATTAACATAGCGGTTCTTTGCTGATAACAGGTTATATGCCTACAATTTCAAAAATCGGTGCTTAAATCGATTAAATTATCCTTGCTTGAGTTCAAAGGCAAAGGCCCGAAATTCATCTATAAATTTAAGTTCGATTTCAAAAAGTGTAGTGTTAAGGTACCATCAATCGATTATTCGATGGTGATAGTTTAATCTGGATCTAATAACAAAAAGTGTATTACTGAACTATCATTGTCATTCGGAATAAACTAAACTAGAAAAAGTATCAGCAACTGCCATTCAATTATTTTGCACATGTTAATTCATCAGCATCTACAACATAGCTAGCATGTTGCCATATACGAGACGCTGTCTATTTATTCGGCCTAAAGCAGTATTTTGGTAAAGTACTAAACGCTTAAATTAGAAACATTCCCACACCGAAACCTACGTGCAAAATTAGAACTACGTGCAAATCTTAGGACCAAGAAGTATATCTTTAACCTTGAAGATAAACGTGATATAGTGACTTAATTTAATAAGCTAGAACATATGACATGATCCTATCAGATTCGCAATAACAATTGTCAACTGTATGTACCATTTCGCGAAAACCGCTGATCCAAAGAACTTGACCCAGTTTCGTTCCAATGATAATGATCATGATGTTTTAGGGTCTGGTGATAAGCATCACTGATGTTAGATTAGGTAATGATTGTGTGGATACAGTCATCGTGTGTGTTGCTAAGATGGATCAAGTTTGGGTCGATTGCATGCTACCTACACTTATAGAGGAAAAAAATGATGAAAAGCTAATGGTGATTGGTAATTTTGCCTTTTTGATAGAACGATGAAGATATTGATGTTGGAAATACGAAGGATTACACTGAATTTCAAAGTTGATACTTTACTGAACAACCTCTGAGATGTGTTACATATTACAGTTGTCTTTAAGAGCCAGCCAAGAGACTAAAACAAACTTGTCAAAGACGTGGTAAATGAAAGAAAAACGCAATTATGTTAACCTTGACTTAAAACGAGATCTGTGAAGACATGTATCCTCGATTTCAATCACATCCTTTTTGAAAGAGAAGACGTGATTTTAAAACAATTAAAATTAAATGTATCCTAATTGGTTCTCTGAAGATTGGACCGAAGAGAGAGACAGATTGCAAAATCGTGAACACAGACATGATATCTGATAAGCATTAATGAAGACTGTATTGTTCATTTGGCAAATTGATGTTAGACAGACCTTCGCTGATGACCTACATTTTAAAGTAGACCAATTTATTTAAGATCATGATGACTCTGAGGTTACTTTGAGTAATGTAGTAATTATACAATATTGATACATTTTAAATTTTAAATGTTGATCTAATTGCAACGTTTGTCGGTAATTGGACTTGTAAAGGACTTTAGTAATCGTTTTTTTAAATAAATGATGATAATGATAATATTAAACTTCAATGTTGAAAGCAGAGTGGTTTCGTGATCGATATTTCCTTGTTGTTCTACCCCTATGCCTAGGAGAATACTTTAATCTCTGGTCGGTCTCAATTTCTACCTCTACATGCTGAATGAGGAGATAAAACCAAAAATATCTGGTATCATTTAACTCTTTGGCGTTGCAATTATTATTGTGAACAGCAGTACCTATTAAGCGTTCTATGTAAAATTCTACGAATAAAGTTCAGTGGCGACGGCAACTTAGATTTCCCGATAGGATATTGAAAATCCTAAATACGAGTATTACACAAAGAAAAAAAGAAAAATATATTTATTTCACATGCTAACAACAAGTGATATTTATATAATATTATATAATATATAAGCCCTTTCGTCGTGGACATGCTGCCACCCTGTTTCTTTTATTAAGTCTGCGGTGAAATGGGACTAGTACAGCATGTGGAAGACAGCGTCTTGAGCTGGTATTCTGCTGTGACTAAGAATCCCTTTATGTGACTCCCAGACGAACAAGCCACCAATTGAACACCATACCTGGTATTGATAGTTCACTATTTTTAAATATTCTAAGTAACAAGTCATCTCAACCTTACTTAAGCAACGATATAGATCACGCATCTTCCAAGTAATTACAACTGGTAAGATGACCATGAGTTTCAAATAACTCGAATCAATCATCCCAAAAACATTAACAAAAACATGTTAAGATAATACTACTGAGTTACGAGAATCGAATCTACGATACTGTGTACAAAGAAAAAGATAAGAAACTACACTAGCGCTCCATTGAATCTTAATTACAGTTTATTTATGAGTAACAACGGTCATGATAAGTGAACAGTACAGAACACGTACCTATAGGCGCTCACGCCGATCTTCATGAGCTTACAAAGCTCGTTTTGTTTGTAGTTCGGGCGTAGAAACGTAGATGGCGTTGAAACAATATTTTTATCATGCCTAGGCTTTTCATCATTTTTTTTTAGCTTACGTATTAATATGGAGTTCGCTAATATAAAATGGGAGGTGTCGATTAGTATGTGCTCTTTAAAAATAGTGAGGATTTTATTAAGGAGACAAAACAAATTATTATAGGCTATGGAACAAATTAATTATCCTTGGACAAATGCGATAGCAAAGTTTGCCATACTTCGGAACGGATGAGCCGGTTGAACCGGAGTGATACCACGGCCTAACAGAAAACCAACGCGGAGCATCATTTGCGTTGTGTTTCGTCGTGTGAGTGAGGTTGCTGGAGGTCCAGTTACCGACAAAATTGGGGAGGAGACTCCCCGATCACGGCAATGGTTCTAGTGTTTCGATTGTCTCGATCAGCTGATAGTTCTTACTATCAGCTGATCTGTCTGTTCGTTTATCTGCAGCAAAATAATAATAGGACATTGATTTTTAAAAAATCTTAATTGTTGTGTCTTGTTAAACAATTAGTTTTTCATTAACTAAAAATATTGTGTAATCATCTGTTCTTTTAGGAATTAAATAAAAGAAAATAATTAATTTTTTATCCCATGCTAGATATAATGCATACTCCAATTATATGTTATTGAGCTCAATCTGTAGCCAAGTATTATTATTTTTTTTAAATCCATAGATTTATCAAACATTTTAATCCAATATGTGAAAGTATGGGAGAGCCATGCTTCGATACGAATAGGCTGGCGCGACCGGAGTGATACCATAGCCTCACAGAAAACGACGTGAAGCAACGCTTGCGTTGTGTTTCGTCGTGTGAGTGAGCGACGCCGATTGCTTACCATCAGGTGATTCGTCTGCTCGTATACCGGATTATGCCATAAAAAAAGTTGTATTATAAATTTCATGAGACATACTAAATTTAACTCGTCGAGTACCGTCATTATAGACACAATTATAGAACAATAGGTTGCGGTCACCGGTGACCGCTTGGTGTTTGACAGTTTAATTAATATATTTTTCGGCTTACTCACGTAACTGTTTGTCAAGGAACTCGATTAGTGTCAAGCCATTTTAAAGGCTTGTGTGCTACAATCGCGTGTCACAGAATGCTGTTCAAGAATATTGTCCCTAAATCTTTAAAATTGAGCCGTACACTCTAAAATATCACAGAACGTCTTTGGTAGTGCAATTACAGTTTCATTCAAAACAAATAGCATTGACAAATCTATCTAGGTGTATGTTTGTCCGTCGACTGATATATTACCATCAAGTTCTTACCTAGGTTGTCAAGCTTCTCCCCATAAATAGACATGATGAGCCTTCGAGACACAACCAGTTTTTTTTTTAAATAGATCCTTAATCCACATTTTTCCTTTTACAGTCTGTGGATGCATTAGATTTGTCGGTACTTTTTTGTCCTTTGATTTCAGAACACGATGATTAAATTTTATTATTCATGAACCTGTCTATGTCTAAGGCATTTAGATTTTGTTTTGGGTCTACCAGGTGTTAGGAATTTGATGTTACATTAATTGCTGTAAATTGCAATTTAGATTAGGTTCAATAAGGTAAAATTGCCTTTGAAATTTTAGCCGGTAAAATATGGCTTTGATTTTTTAATCGACTTCAAAAAAGGAGGTTCTCGATTTAACCTGTGTATGTATGTTACGATTGGCTGAATCGATTCTAATACGGTTTTCAGAAAAGTATTTGTTACAGTTAGGAGAAGATTTTGGTATATTTATTAACTGACTTCAAAAACGAGCAGGTCTAAGTCACTTTTTTGAAACGTTCATATACAAGAATTATTACATTCATTATCTGCGTTTTGTCAAAAACTGAGGCCGTTTAAACTTTAAATGGCTTAGTTAGATCTTTAAGAAGTTTAGTCGATTTAAGTTACAATACAATGCCCGCTATTGGTACTAACGAACGATTTTATTTGCCTCAAATAATTGTATAGATTTAAGATCTTGAATTCAACAATAATTGGACTTACTGCTGCAATAAGTAGGAATAAAAGAGGACAGCATTCCTCTTTTGATCTAATAGCCCTAACATATTTTTTATTACGGATACATACTTGAAATAGACCATTTTCTTAGTATCTCTGTACTGTTCAGAAAAAATACAGTTAACTTCCTTTTTGTTTCGCTATAGTCGAGTAATTATTTTAAATAAAAGTTAATCTCTTTTTCAGGTTTAAGTGAGGGAAATAAAATTAGAAACGTGAGAGTACTATCACTTTTGTGACATCCTTATTGCGCTTAATTCAATATTTAAAAAAGTTATTTTATTTAAATGTGTAGTAAAAATCAGTCGTGAAAGAAGAGGTAATTTTTGGGTACCTAATAATTATTACTTCAAACACTGCTTCAAAATTAAGGATTTTAAACTCTAATTCGATAATGATAAAGTTGAAATATAAAAACCACAAAACATTTCTTGCATTAAGTCGTATATTCGTTGCTTCATTTTATATTTACAATTCTTAATAACTAGACATAACTTTTTTTTATACATTTTCCATACTAACTCTATACTGTCCTTGCTTTGCTGTATAAAAACTTATAACTATCATTTTTAACAGGAAGAAATTAATTTTTTAACAGAAAATGTAGAGATTTATACAAAGATTTGAGATCACATTACAAAAGATGAGACAGACAGAACTATTATATATGAACAAAGTAACAATATTATTAAAAATAATAATCACATGTATGGAGTCACAGCAAAATATTCGTTATTTATACATCATACAGTGAATGATGGTGGAGGGCTTCAAGATAAAAAAGTACGAAAGAAAAATGAAGTTAATAAATACGATGTTCAGTAACAAACGATGAACGAAAATTGTTCCAACGACTGTGCAAATCAAAACATTCGAATCAATTTTCTATTAGTAGCCACACAAAAAATAAAGAACAATTAACATACTTTAACTTTTATAAAAAGTCAACTTACGTAATCATTCTTATTTTTTAGTGACTTCATCTATAAATTTTATCAAACGATGTTTCTTTAAGCTTTTTGAATATTTTCTGTTCTACATTTGCACAGCCATCACCTCCATGCACCATCACGAGTATTTTTTCTTAGTATCGGTAACCAGTCTGAGAGTTGAAGTTTCCTGATCCGGAGCCACGGCCTCCAGCGTTGGGGGCGAGGTATTGACGGGACGCAGCACCTCCAAAACCACCAGCTCCAGAACCACGGCCAGCACCAGCTCCTCCGAAACCGCCAGCACCACCACCGAAACCGGAACCAGCACCGCCAGCGCCGAAACCAGATCCAGCACCACCAGCACCAGCGCCGGAGTAACCACCAGCGGGTCCAGATGAGTAACCGTTGCCAGCGCCCGCACCTTCACCGCGGTAGGTACCTGTAATGAGATATATACTGTGAGTGTACAGCCAAAAATAAGAATAAAATCATCATCAATGTCTGCCTCCTTGTACATTTTCCTAATTATAAAATCAGGTGTGATTATTACAAAATCTGCTCTTAATATATCAGCATCAACATCAAGACAGTGTAATTTATGTGCAATCTGACGTTCTCAGGGCATTTCACGCACCGAGTTCACGAGACTAATGACTAAAAGATTGGCTGCCAACATCGACCAACATTCCAATGCTCCACTTAGCAACAAATTCATTAGAAATGGAGCATTAGCCGTGGTTTGTTGGAGTTGGTCGGTAATGGTCAAATGTTGGAGTTTGCGTAAAGGTCAAAGCAGGTTAACCACATTAAATGTGTCTTCGAGGTTTGTGGTTTGCACTGCAGTATATTAAACTTTACAAATATTCAGAAAACCATGGTTTTGTGTGAATATAGTCTGCACATTCTAAAACTTAAGATCCACATTTGCATGTTTCACGAAGCAATTAAAACAAAGAAAATCATCATTATCATAACTAGCTCTTGGTACATAAACTGTATGATTAAAATGATGTGTGTTTTAAGTGACCTTTTGTAATACTGAAACAAGTGGGCCATATAATTTTCTGTTCATTTTCAATTACGAAATAATTCCGTAATTTCGATCACGCACATAATATTACCGTATTGTTTGTTCTAGAGGCCATGAAGTGAGCGTTTGTGTCGCGTGCAAATATCATAATTGTGGAAACGTTTATTTTAATTTGTTTTGTTCTATGTATGTCTGTCATTGTCATAGTAATTTAGTAGTATTCTGCTTCGAGCCATTTATTGTCGTTGTTAAGATATTTCTCATTTGTGTGGTATTGTAACTTTCAATTCAGACATTTGTGATTTTATGTGCCATCATTTCATAAGATATACTCAAGACTCGAGGCACAGCTATATCTGAAAATTCCGTAGGTATTAGATTTAGTGTCTTCTTTATATGTAGTATAATCTTGCAAGTAGAAACTTTTGTTACAACAATATTTTCCCAAAACATTGCATTTTCATGGCTCTAACAAGTTTTCAAAACTCATAAATTTTACAGAAAATCATTACTACATACATGGGGCTGACGTAGCCCATTGGTTAAAAGCCCCTAAAATAAAATAGATAATATTAAAAAAAATACTTCATACCGCTATTTTCTAGCCACACACGATGACACGACTCATCGAAAGCTCCAAGGTTGACTATGAACGGTCTCGTTAACGTTCGCTCGAATTATTTAAATTGTATCAAGTTATTTAGAATGCGAAGATGACCGAGGTGCATGGGTATGCAGTTTCTAGGTTAAATACAGGTCTATCTAATGACTGATTGGATACACTTGAGGGTTTTAATGCACCTGTATCTATTACACATTGCATCATGTCTGTCGAAACTGAGATGTATTTTATCTTCAGCTTTTAACAAGTTATTGTGTATCTATATGGTTTTAGTTAATTTGTAATGGCGAATAGCTCATAATGGTATATGAGTATGGCTCTAAACTCCAGAACCTTATTATGACTTGAATATTTTTTATCATCACTAAATACATAAATAATAAAGCATATATACGGTCGAATTGAGAACCTCCTCCTTTTTTGAAGTCGATTAAAAAAAACTAAAAGTTAGATTCTTGAGTAATCATTCAAAGCACGCATCTAAATACCCATCGCAAAAACTCTTACTTAAGCTTACCGATGATGCAATAATTAATCTAATCACCTAAGAAATAAAGTTTATTATCAGTAACAATCTGACTAACTAGCTCATCACTGACCTGTTATGTAAGTAAGTAAGTACAGTGGGCAGCAGGTTGACCAACTCTTTTCTGTCAAATTTCTTTATTTGATTTTCAACTTCATCATTTAGATATAAAGTCAAAAATCCAATGGCAAAAGTTTGCACATTGGTGTAAGTTGATGTGCTGGGCAATGTACATTTTTAGGTAGACCGCTAATCTGGCTGTCAGTTTGACAAGTTACGAAAAGATTAATCCCCACCACGTTCTCTTCAAACCTAGTCTTTGCGTAAATGTAATGTTGGTTTGAAGATAAGAAGAACATTAGTGGAGCATGCATTATGATTATGAGCCTGTTTCATCTGATGATCGAACTGTCACAATGTTGCGTGGCAAGGATAATGGGAGTTCAGACGATGTGCCTTTCCTTTGATGCCTGATGAAAATTATTCTTGCCTCTTGTTCAGATCCTATCATTTCCCTTTCAACTTTTACTTATTATGTATGTGTTGTGACATAGGGTTGAAAATCAGACGTTAACAAATTTGGATAAATACTCTCTGTACCTAACATTCTCACCTGGTAGATTTTGTTAACATGAATGTAATAATAACGTTAAATTAACATGCATTTAAAAAAGACAAAGCTATCAACGAAATTACATCCATTAATCCCAAAGCTAAAACATCTAAATTGAATCATTATAAAGCATCAGATAATGATCTAACACATCAACAAAATCTTCACGCTGTTTAACTGACTTCAGATACTAACAATCTGGTTTCCCAGCAGGTTGTAAATTTTAAAGTAATTAATATAGTGCAAAATATCTAAAGATCTTATGTTCCCACATTTTGTAACTATGAGAATTGCGAACAAAGAGCCATAAACTAACATACATGTAAAGTTCTTAGAAATACTTTATTTCGTTTTGATAATAATGATAATATTAGTATTTGTCACATTAGACCCTTTTTGTTCGAAGTTGAAGTGTATGATGTTTTTGTGAAAATAACTATAGATATAGTATTGACATTAACGTGTGAGCTTTACTTGTTTTACTTTAGTACGATGTGGATCGTTGATTTAAAGGAAGATATTTTTATATTTAATTAGGAAAGCAACAGGCATGAAACACCTTCAGGAAACACCACGATGGAATTGCATTAGCTAATGATAATAAAAGTACGAATATTGCAAGCTTCACTTTCATTTCCACTGCAACTAAATATCCCACGAACACTTTCGCTAAACTTAGCAAAAGTTACAAAATGTAAAGCTCAGTGCACATTGATGTTGCAACACGTCATTATTTAGATGAAGCCTTTATTACTGTAGCAGTAGTCATTAATAATCGCGATTACCGCCCATCTCTGGTAAATGCACTCATTATGGTCCGTTTACATTTGAGTAATTTGGTAATGCAAGTGTTAGGACACGTTTTGTTAGTCTTTTAGATGAAACTAGATGAGAAGCTACATTAATTGTCACTTCTACAGCAGTATCATTGTCTTCAACGAATAACTTGGATTAGATTTGGTACCTGACACTAAGAAATCTTTAGCATCATGATCATCAATTATTATTTGATCACCAAAGTCTCTATTTACTATTGAATCGTTTACTGTTTCTATGCAATGCACGTTAATAACGAACAGTTGTCAATCAAAGAATTCCATTCTCTGTAATGCAAAACAGAACGTGGACTGTAGATGTCATTCGAAGCTCAATAAGCAGAGTGCACATGTCTGACCTTTCGTTTATCTTTAGTCTGGATCATGTGCACCACGCCTTACGGTGAGTGGAGTACTGGTACGGTCACGTCGTGACCGAGTGCAACCGGGGCGAAGCATTAGTATCGTCCCATATTGTTGAGAAATTGGTCACTCCTCGAACTTTGTGTGAAACGTGATTATTGGCACCAACTCCACTGTCTATTAAATTTATTTAGCAAATGCTTTAGAAACTGATGCAATAGTACTGTTAAAATTTGTACGATCACTTGACCTGATGCAGGATTGTGATGAAAATTGATCGTATGTACTTCTATAAGTTCTGCCCATTCCAAGAGACACAATATGATTAGATGTATGCATCTATGTGGAAAAGCACAAGTAATCAACACAACTAATAAAGGATAATCATAAACAACTTCAATTACATTGCCACCGCTGCCCCTGTTTTGACACTGTTAGGAAATCGTTTATTCCGCGAAGAAACCGAGTGTGAATCGGGTTAATTGAAGCAAGATACTAAACTAACCTTTGAACTAGTATAGTTTATGTGAACTGAGACATTAATATAGTCCTGCGTTATTGAGAAATTGGTCATTTCATACTAACTCGGTGTCATTTGAACATAATGTTTATAATGTTCTGAGAATCACCTCTTATGGTATTGATGTTAAATTATAAAGCGAGCTTAGGTCATTGTTTAACTTGCATGAAAGGTATAATGCAATCAAGAGAAAATATGTCATAAAAATAATTATTTTAAGGAAAATAAAATTTAAGGCAACGGTGTTACCAAATAAAAGTTGAAAGAAAATGTCAAAGTCAAAAAAGAAAATACAACATGAAAATGATATATCTTAAAAAACTTTGACCCAAAAAGATATAGACATGTCAATATAGCCATCTGAAGTTAAGAGTCGATCTGATTAAGTACCTACAGATAATGAATTTGTGAACGTTATCCTATTCATCTGTGCATTCACTAATCAATACTCAAGCTTGTCGCGATTGAATGAATTGTTATTGTATTGTCTATTGTGTGTGAATTTTGAATTCACTTTTATGAATTGTTGCCTGAGCCTGCCTGATGTTTGCGTAAGCAAATATTATTAATATAGAATGAAAAAGTTAAAGCATGAATATCTAAAAATGTTTTTATTTGCAAAAGGAAAGCTTTTATGGACCTAAAACTGGGCCTTGTGGTAGTCTCTCCGAAGACATTGAATTTCAAGAATAAAAGCTACTAATGTGACTTGTTTCTTCGAAGTTTTGCACCCTTAAAAGCTTCACTTTACAAATTAAAAAGTCCCTACATAATATATATAAACTGAGCTATGTTGATATAGTTACTAGCCGTAATAAATAAACTGTAACTATGTCTGCATACACGAATTAATATACTATTCTAAATAAATGTGTCGTCACAAAATTAATCTTCGAGTCCCTAATAACGATCCAACAATTTCCGTCACAAAATATTACACACCGTAAATAAATTTATGAATGGTTACCCAAGATCGATGATGATGCCTGGATGAGCTGATTAAGTATCGACGATAGGAGCATGATCGATTTGCTTTCAAACTGCTGCTCGATCGCTCGTTAAACATCGATAAACTTTAATCGAATATACTATAGCAGCAACACTGTCAATCTATAATGAAGCCTGAAGTATCATTGATGCAATAAATTCGTCAGGTTCTTAGCCTTTAAGGGTATTTGTTGCTAACATATTTGAAACAATGGAATGTGTTGTTCTTACCTCTATGTTTGTGTGCACTTACACAACGCGCGTTATTCCTACAACTCATAACACTAATGTGTAACTCTATATTTCTGTAGGAAATAGTTTATTACCAAATGAAAATTCTATTAATATTTATTGGACTGACCATTCCAATAAAGCATGCAATGTGGGATAGCCAAGAATCCTCATTTCGCAAGGCTGTGAAGATCTGCCTTCGAATATGGCTGCCGACTTTATGTGTTCTAACCCAATAATTTACATTTTAAAGTCTATTTACGGTCAATCAAAGGCAAATAGTTTGTATTAATTAGTGAATCTGCCTTTAATTTGTAGGATCTTGACTTCGTAGGATTGACAAGGTTCTTGCTTTATATAAAAGCGAATATCAAGTGCATTTTAATCAATTTTATCGTGAGTTATTGAACTTTTGCTTTGGCTTGTTATACTGTAGTATTTATATTTTGGTTTTCAAATGCTTTTCTTTCGAGTGAGTTTTATTTTACGTTTAAGACCAACTAACTTTTGATTATTTTCCAAATCCTGTACCATAAATTCACAAATATTATACAAACGAGCTCATTTATCTAACTTAATCCATTCATGTGAAATGTTCAAGTAAAATAGCTGTGAAATCAATTAAACGACCTATGCGGTGCCTTAGTTTGCTCCTACAGAGATCACGATGCGTGATGCAACGATCCCACGTCATTTTGTAACTCATCAGTTACTCAGAGAACAAATTACTAGCTTAGATGTTACATTAGTTTCCTTTATTCTATACTCCCTGCTATTTTCACTTGTTTTTTAAGAACTGCAACAGATACTTTTCATATTTTGGAAATACTGCCCATTTTTTGAAGTCAAACTAAAGTTTTGGATCATTTCACTGGTTGCTTTGAGAGTATTTATGAGCCTTAATGACTTTTTTTGTTGTTATACGAAATCTAGAGTGTTATATAGAACTTTATGTGAAATGTGCATGCTATATTGGCTTATTCACGTCTATGTGAGAAATAAAATGGCTTGTTATATTATAATTGAGTCACCTCAAAACCTCACGGTTTGAATAATTTATAATAGGAGCATTAAATGAAGGAATTTGAAATCTTTCGTAGTGAGTGATCTATGATTCAAGTAACTGAGGTAATGTTAGTTAAGACAAAATTAAATGCCGCCTTTTGTTGTGTTTTGTTAATAAATTGTAATGCATTTGTTATTCGATGTCTTTCCACTGATAGGACTACAATAATTGGTTAGTAGCTTTTGACGAACTTTTGTATTGAAAGAAATGTCGGTAAAATTGTTTGAATGAGCAAGATTAATTTCTAACTGTTTGTTTCCTTTTTCTATAAGGTAGAATGGTTTACAATAACATTTTGTAATTTTTTTGTAAGTTCGATAACTTTGAGTTAAATGCTACTGCATTGATATTAGAGTAATTTTTATGCTTTGTTTTGTTATAAGTATCTAAAACTTTTTGTCTCGACCCTTATATTTTATATCACTAGCTATATTAAACGCGTTCACTCTATTTTTTACTACCTAAGAGATTTGAACGTACGTAAATTGTCGTAAAAACTACGAACATGAATCGTCTTAAATTTAAATTAACCTATCAATCAGCTTTGCCAAAACTTTTTTATCTCACGATTTGTTTTTAGTTTTGGGCACAAAAATAGATTACCTCTGTAACCACACGTTGTGAGTTAATTACACGCCAAGATTCTTAATAGTGTGGTCAGAAGGTAATGATGATTTAGTATTAGGCTTATAATGATTAAATTGTATCACTCACCATCATCAACGATGCCAGCGGCCTCATCACGGGCGTTCTGCTCCAGAGACTTCAGAATCTCTTCTGGGATCGGGGGAGGAGTGGGCAAATGAGCACCCTGGGGCTGGTAACCGTTCTCATCAGCGGTGTATGAGATGCTGTAGTCCTGGCCGTCATCACCCTTGTACGCGAAGCTTCCCTGAGACTGGACTCCGTTGGTAGCAACACCACGAGCGTCAGCACGGATACCGTTTGAGGTTTCGAAGTCGTAAGAGAATCCTTCAGCAGTCACTTCGCTGTTCAGTTTGAGGATCTGAGCGTTGGCGTCAGCGGAGTTACCACCACGAGCGTTGTACTGTCCACCGGCGGCGGCATTGTATGCGTTTCCAGAGTATTGGGTGCCACCGAATCCAGATCCAGCACCTCCAGCCCCTGCGCCACCAAAACCAGAACCAGCGCCGCCGTAGCCTCCAGCACCACCGGCTCCACGACCACCAGCGCCAAATCCACCGGCACCACCAGCGCCGAAACCTCCTGCGCCACCAGCTCCACCGAAACCACCACCGGCTTTACCAAAGCCAGGGGCACCGGCAGCACCGAAGCCAGGGCCGAAACCGCCAGCACCAGCGTTTCCTCTGGGAGGGAGGTATTTGTTGTCAAGGCGGTCTGCTAAGCAGACACCGAGGACAGCGGCTACCACGAGCTATGGAAAAAAATATATTTTATAATATAACCGACTCTTCATTATACTGCACTGACCATGATGTACAATCACATGGCAGAAAGGAGTTTACGATTCAACCCTGCCCCAATTGTGTTTAACCTAGTTTTTGTACCGCAAATGGACATTATTTATCTCATTGAAATTCAAATCAATGATGAGCATGTTTTAATTGTACACATTTCGTTTAATTGCACTCCTAAGTTTGTGTACGTTTGTAATTATACTTCGAAATGTCGATTTTATGTAGCAAATGATAGATACATACATGAACAGAATTTTAAATGCGGCTAATTTTTTCCACGTGATTTTATGTTTGCAACTCTCTGTGCAATTCTGAGCAACTTAGTCTTTTTGAAATTGCATTTTTGTAATACTCTTCATATGAATCGAGTATTGAAGAGATGCTCTAATCATGACCACAAAGTAAACCAATATAATTACAAGCTATAAAAAGCTGAATGCATAAGTTATTAGCCGCTGAAACAGCTTTTGCAATATATATGACAAAATAATCATAATATTTCTGGGTCTTGTTAAACAACATAAAATTTAAGTGACAGACATAATTATTTATGTAGGTTGATGGCAACCTTTATAACTGAAATATTTGACTACAAAATACAAACAAAGAAAATATTGTGGACAATTTAAATGGTTTTTTAACCGAATATGTAACTCTAAGATGAATCTATCAATCAGATGTCAGGAGACCTGACGACCTGACTAAGCAGCTTAATAAGCCACTGATCCCTCGCGCTTTAAGGGTAGCGCGACCGTTTAACCCCTACCCACACGCTCCCGATAAACGAAATCGACTTACCAATTTCATTATTTTATATTAAAATATATTTTCTAAGGAAGACGACTTGTGTACTGAACGATGTTGCGTTGACTGTGATGTGCACCAGCGCACCGACCAATATATACCTCTCTAGATGAGTGAGAATGATTCTGAAAATGATATCAGGGCCGCTGCACCATCGTAAGAAGGTTGATCTTCCTTTATTATTGAGAGAATGTGTTCGATAGTAAAGTTTGATATACATTTTTTAGTGATGACATCCGCGTTCGATGAAGGGTTGGTTTCTGACATTTTGTTTTTATGTTCGTACGTTTGTCTTAGTGCGCTGGTGCGTGATGCATTCGACGTGATACGTGACGTGTTTAAGTATGCAAAGTTACTAATGTAATCATTGTTAGGAATGTAAAGGATTTATACGGTAACTAGAATTAAAATTAAAATATGGGGTGTTAGGGAAATGTAATTGAGTCGTGTATTTAGATTGTTTTCGTAATAAATACCTAATAATAATTATACTTCGTCATTATAACGGAAATAAGTAAAAGTTTATTATTGTTTCGTTAATTATAATTGCCAACTTAAGAGGTTTTCAATTTCATCCTCGTATTGCCATAGGATGATAACCTATCTTAACTTTACTTAACTTTACGCCTTTTATACCCGAAGGGGCATTGCCATATACCGGGCAAAATTCCAAAATCCGTGCTACTACTGAGATTTAATACCTAACTGAGATTAAAAACCCAGAAATACTTTGCCCGACCTGGAAATCGAACCCGAGACCTCTTGACCGGCTGTCGCAATTGCGACCACTCGGTCAACGAGGCAATCCAACCTAATCCAAATAAGCTATCATCATTATTATTGTCATTCACAAGACACCTACTGCTGAACATAGGCTTTTCCCATTTACGTCCACATCAGCCGGTTGTCAGCAATCTGCATGCAGTAGCTCCCTGCTATAAGGAACTTTTTTTTTTTTTAAAAAAAAAACGTTGCCCCACACTAGGATTTTCTCCTGTATCGTGGGTGCGGTTACAAACATACAAGTTAACATACACATGACACCCAGACCCGGAACAACAATCTGTCGATCACACAAAGAGTTGTTCCGTGCGGGAATCGAACCCGCGACACGTTGCGCGGCAGTCACCGCCCCAACCGTGCAGTCAAACTATGATAACTTAAACTTTATAACCAGCGAAATTTTTAATAGTAACACAGACCTTTTAACTGCGTATGAGTACTTAAACTTTTACTTTAATAGGCTAGTCCGCCATTTTGTTGTATTTATGTCAATTACGAAATATGAGCGAGCTAAAGGTCTACCTCTGACTGTCCCTTAAAGCAACAGTTGCCATAATGTTATATCTTACTGTCCAATAAAGAGCTGCCATCAATGTGCAAAATTATAGTTAGTAATATAAGCCTTCGATTGTATTCATTATTATTATGACAATTTTGTTGGGCACGCCTTTTTATTTATTTATTTATTTATATATGCTTTATTGTACACATTTATGTAGTTTAAAACAAACAATTTAAAAAAAAAAAAAAAATCTTTAAACCCAATTCAAGTAAATATGCGTACAATGGGCGGTCTTATCACACAATGGTGATTTCTTCCAGACAACCTTTGGATGGAAATATTTGTAAGAAACCAGATAAGGGGTAGTTACGTGTACAATAATAAAAAAAAAAAAAAAGACAAAATAAAAAAGCCTACAATACAACCTACAATAGATTTGCCTTTTTATTGGATAAAATAGTATTTATTGCGGAAATATATAATAATAGTTTTGATTTTGTTTGCATATAGTTTTATTTATTTACTGTTTTTAAAATTAAACTGTTTTGCCATTCTGGTAAGGTACTCACATGGTTTTTTTTGTTTTAAAAACGTTGCCCCACAATTGGATTCTCTCCTATGTCGTGTGTGCGTTTACAAACATTCAAGTTCACATTCACATCACACCCGGACCTAAAACAACGATTTGTAGATCACACGAAGTGTTGTACAGTAATCGAACCCGCGACACGTTGCATGGCAGTCGGTGGGCCAGCCATGCAGTCAATTGTGATTAAGGTTTACCAATTAAAACTCTTGTTGTAATAATCGTAGGAATTGGCGTTACATAGTCTCTGCCTACCCCCGTGGGAGATAGGCGTGAGGGTATGTATGTATAATTATAACCTTATTGACACAGAAACCGAAACAACACAACTCTTTGTGTGATTCACAAATTGTTATTCTGGGTCTGGGCGTCATATCTACATAAATATGTATGTTTTAAACGCACCCACGACTTAATCCCTTTCCTTAGATTTTCTCCTGTGGGTAAATATCGACCTTACGTGTTATGCAAATACAACAATACCAGTAAGTCAGTAGATAATATTCCTGTATAAATGATGAAAGTACTTAAGCATAGTTAGTAAGTTATTACAAGTATTTAGAAGCTTAGCTGCTCACGTTTTGAAACTCAGGTTAAATACAGTTCTATGTACTTAATATTTTATTATGATGTCGTAAGGGCAATAGTTGAGAGTTGAAAATGGAGCTCTGAATATGCCAATTATATATTTTTTTTTATTTTAACGTTGCCAGTGTCGAGGGTATGTTTACAAATTCAATCGCCACACCAGGGCCCTGAGAACCTAACGAGTAACCGGGGCTCCGGCTCGACGTGTAGGAGAAGGAACGGGGTGGTTTTTAGTCAGTAAGAGTCTGACACTCCCTCCCGCCTCACCCAGGCGGGAGCAGTCATTCGATGATTTTCCCCTTTAAAAAAAAGCAATCAGTTTATGAATTCACATAATTACATATAACTAATTGGAATCGTTCTCAGTAAAATTTGTTTTTATTTTAAAGTTGCCAGTGTCGTTTACAAATATATAAATTCAAACGCCACAACCAAGCCCAATCCAACAGATTATGAATTCACGTAAAATAGGGATGATGGCAGGGTATGAAAAATAAAAAACTAATTAGTCTGTCAGCTACGTAATGGAAAAATATTAGACACGTATTTTATTATTTTGTTGCATAATAAAACGATACTTAGATATAACGAATCAAAGTTTAGGAGTGGGAGCTAAAACGTCACTTCTATGTATAAAATGTACATAGAAGTGACGTCACGCGACTTTTCAAATCAATATATCGTCGAAAGTATTCCTTTCTGTAAAAAAATAAAAAATACGTGTGTAATGTTTTTAAACAATCTACCAGGCGGACATTAAAATAAAAAATAGTCATCTTTCCTATTGGAATCGATGGTTGAACGTTGGTACGTTTTTTTTTTTTTTTTTTTAAAAACGTTGCCCCACACTAGGATTTTCTCCTGTATCGTGGGTGCGTTTACAAACATACAAGTTCACATACACAATGACACCCAGACCCGAAACAACAATCTGTGGATCACACAAAGTGTTGTCTCGTGCGGGAATCGAACCCGCGACACGTTGCACGGCAGCCAGTTGCCCAGCCACCGCACCAACCGTGCAGTCAACGTTGTACTGCACTCCTCTTCATTAGATCGTTTGCCATAGTTTCATGGTTGGCAAGCAAGTCGGAGACCACCGTTTAAATTATTCAAGTTAGTAAAAAGTATTTTCTGCTCTGTTCAATTGTTCCTCTGTTCTCTATTAAATTGTATAGCCCCGTAATCAGTTATCACGAAACATGTTGTAAAAGCAGAGATGATTACAACTATACTGGTCTCGCCACACATAACATAACATAACATCACGCCTTTTATCCCCGAAGGGTTAGGCAGAGGTGCACATTATACCACAGTACAATATAACACCCACTTTTCACTACTTATGTTATGAGTCCCATATAATAGGGGGTGAGCCTATTGCCATATACCGGGCACATTTCCAGACTCCGTGCTACTACTGAGAATTTTTAAAAAACCCAGTAATACTTTGCCCGACCCGGGAATCGATCCCGAGACCCCTTGCCCGGCAGTTGCACTTGCGAACACTCGGCCAACGAGGCAGTCTCGCCACACGACTTTGGCGAAATACTTAACACAAGGTGTAAGCCCTTAGGTACCTTTTAAAGGGTCAAGTGAGGTCAAGTGCAAGAAATTGCAATCAATCTACATTACATGAAGGTTGAAACATCAGAATCATTTTTGTGAATGCTTCCATTCTTAGAAATAGATCGATAAGTTGATAAAATGTGACCTTATGAACTTTGGACCTTGTACTATAAGTAACTTTATGTTTGGTTTGCCCTTTCGAATAGAAATGAATGAGAGGTACTCTATTTAGTAATGAACATTTTATTTGTCATGTTTTATTTTTCTGGAATAAGCCGGTAATCGAGCAGACGTATCACCTGATGGTAAGCAATTGGCGTCGCCCATGGACACCTGAAACACCGAGGCGTAACAAGGTGAGTTACCGGCATTTTGGAAATTGGGAATTTGAAGATTGTGGAGGATTCGGGGATTGGGGAGACTGGGGGTAAAGCCTAATGCCTCCGGTAACCTCACTCACACGA